AATTTGCAACTGTGTCACTACTCTGTACCCATTAATCTCTCATTAATTCTGGCAGACTTTAACATTAACAGCTAGTATACTAATCCTGTATGTTTGGCCACCAGCTTCTAGCCTTCTGACATTGATATTTTTCTTTAAAGACAATTGCCAAATGTGCTGAGGAAAAAGCAAAAAGCAGGGGTGGAAAATGACAGTCCTGTTTGATTCCCCTGCTCAGAAGAAATTTTCTTCAGTCAAAACCATTTACTTTCATTATTTCTCACTGCTCTGAGAAGTGGATAGCAATAGACATCAGACCATTAAAACACAAACTAATGTAAAACAGTTTAAAACTCCATACAATTAACAACTTAAATTGCTACCTTGTCCCACTGTATCAAATGTATGGCCTTAATAACTCAGTAGACATTGAACAGGGAAAACATCACAGCCAACTTTTCATCTTTTATTTTGGCTCCTTGCAAGGGCTGTTCCTTTAAATCTTTTATTCAGTCCCCTTCATTAAAGTCTGGGATATGCTTTGTGCAGAACAAACAACTTGCTTTTCTAAACTCTTTAAGGTAGGATTACCTCCAGCATACAACAGTGCTTCAGCATTTGTGATGCTTCTTCATTCTATTTCTGTTTCAGAATACAGGATGTGGTGGTCACGGTGCTGGAAGGTTTGTAAAGTACCTTTAATTGTTTGGTGGCAATCTGGAAATAAAACAAATTTCCCTCATTTTAGCTATTGTTTGCATTTGTTTATTGGGTCTAGAACATTTCCCTCCTTTCTTTTCCTTTGGATTAATAAAAGCTGACATATAAGAACAGAGATATCAATTGTTGCTGCTGCTCCCAAACCGATCACAGGGGGGTCTCAGCATTAAATTCACATCTGCTGCCACAGGTCAAGGCTAAGCCAAAGGTAGCACTTGCTAAGCTAGCAATGATGGTTGCAATAGGTCTTGTTGATCTTGCCATTTTTCAAATGCAGCTTCTCAGTCTCCTCTCTGGCAGGAGCTACCTCCAGAGAATAGGGAAAATGCCAGTGGTGAGTTCCACTTTGGCTCTATATTTCTTTGTATCTTTTTATTTTAGATTTTTTTTTGGGGGGGGGTAAGACTATGTGGACTATAAGATGAGTGCCTGCACTGCCAAATTTACCTCTATACTGCTGGATGGTCCTTGTGCCACTAGAGAAGCCCCTGGTACACTCACAGTAAACTCAGTACAGTATGCTAGTGGGCATAGATGCATAGCTGCAGCCCTGGTGGGGTGTTGCCAGCAATCAGATGCAGGATTCAAAGCTCAATTGTTTCCCCAATTTGTTCCTCAGAAAGGGGAAAAATAATGCCAGCCCTGGAAATGGTATACATAGCACCTCCCACATTGGATTAAGTCCAAGTCAAGTCGGTTTTCCTCATATTTACTCAGATAGGATGGAGATCCTGTAACCTTAACCCTTAACAAATTATGGATTAAGACAAAGTACTGTAAAGCTCCTTCAGGCTGACAAAAGTTCCTGCCCTTCCCCACCTTCTAAAATCCAACTTTTCCCTTGCCTCCACTGGTGAAATATTGGCTGAATGGGGATGGGATAGCTACAGCTGAAAAGTTGGGGTTTGGGAGATGAGGGAGGATGGGTATCTTCATTCTACTTGATGAGCTTTATTGTACCTTCAAGTCATTTCTGACTTATGGTGGCCTTAAGGCAGGATTTTCTGGGGCCATAAGTGTAGGACTTATCTAAGGTCACCTAGTGGGTTTCCATAGCCAAGCAGGGAATTGAACCCTAATCTCCAGAATCATAGTCCAATGCTCAAACCATTACACCATGCCTTGCTCTGCTCCAAAATCAGTTAAGGATTAAAGTTACAAGAACCCTATCCAACATCCAATCTGGCAACCCTATCCTCAGTGCCTTACCATGAATTTCTTATAGTCTACAAGCCTGCTGTCACTTAACTACGGTAGATTTCCCCCCTTACTATTATTTCATGGAAGAAACCAGGAACTGGTGGGCATACTTCCCATTCCTTCTCTACAGTGAGTACTGTAGTCTGAGCTGGTCTCTTAGAACACTTCTCTGAAATAAAAATCCACATGTTTAGTGTTTGAATCTTTAAAGTGCAATCTGACAATCTTGAAACGTGACAGCTGTGGTGACTGAGTCCTGAACAGAAAAATGACTGCAAACTGTTAAGTTAGAAGGGGGCAAATTTGAAAATAAAGGGTTTTAAACCATCAACCTATTAAACCTGCAACCTTAGAATTTAACACAGGCATGGAAAATCTGGAAAGAGGAGTTTAATCTCTATGTGGATGTTCTAATGACAGATAAGAGGTAACAGTGAAAATGAAACTGGAGATAGGGGAAGAGATACTTTGTGTGCAAATGTTTCTCAGCTCACAGCATATATTGGCTTTAATAATGTTTTTTGATGACTGTAATCTTACAAAGGACAACATTATGGAAATATAGTAGTTGTTTTCACTTAGAGTCAAGGGGAAGACACTGAGTATTGCACCAATTTAAATATATCGATAGCCAATTTAAATTTATGGAGATAACAGAGAGCCATTGACAAGGCATCATATAATGTGTGGAATCCAGGACATATGAGTAAGGGAGATTGTTGATGGATGCTGAGTTGACTTGAGAGAAAAGCAAGGCTGCTGAATTGTCCAAAGACAAGATTGAAACTCAGTATGCAAAGAAAATGGAGCCCATTCATACAGTACAGAAGCAAGAGGGAAGGAAATCAGAAATAAAGAACTCAATGAACCATTTTTTAGTATTATTTGCATCAAGTTTGCTTTGGCTTATGAAAGACTATCATGAACCCTGGTCATCAACAGCTCTGCTCAGGTCTTGCAAATGCAAGGCAGTAGCTTACTTGATTGAATCAATCCCTCTGTAATTCAGTTATCAGCTTTCTTCACTGTCCAGCTTCTACAACATTTCTATATATAGAAATGAGAAATACATATATAGGTAAAGGTAAAGGTTTCCCCTTGACGTTAATGTCTAGTCATAATTGACTGTAAAGGGTGGTGCCCATCTCCATTGTCTGAAGACAACTCCAGTGGTCATGTGGCTAGCATGACTGCCTTGAACTCTGTTACCTTCTCATCAAAGTGGTACCTATTTATCTACTTGCATTTGCATGCTTTTGAACTGCTAGGTTGGTTAGGACTAGTGATGGAAGCTCACTCCGTCACATGGTGCTTGGGTCTTGAACTGTCAACCTTCCAACCTTCCGATAATCAGAATTAGTGTCTTAACTGCTAAGCCACTGTGTAGTGCAAATACTGGGATTGGGAAATATAAGTTAAATACCTTCAATTGCTTCAATGTGAGGTTTGCAGTTCTGGGAAGAAATGCTACAACTGTATTGCTTTTAAGCACTTAGTGCCCAAGCAAAACAAACAAAAAGCCACAAACTGGAGTGCCTACTATAAATATGGAAAGAGAATGTGACTGTGAAGACATAATTTGGGTAAGAGATTAAGTAATACATTCACTACAGTTCAAAAGAGTACCTTTCCAAATTAGAAAGTGTTGTCAGTTGCAACCCGATCTTAGTAAATCCCAGTATCCCACAGGAAGGAACTAAAATGTGTAATGGTGCTTAGATGGTATTTTGGATTTGCTTTATGGGAACATAAGCACATATGAATGCTGGATAAGACTAAAGCCCTCTTTAGTCTCATATTCCATTTGTTTAGTGGCCAACCAGTTGTCTATGAGAAGCTCATCTGAAAGACAGGACTGTGACTGCATTCTCTTGGTTCTGAAGTCCTGTGAGGAAGAGCCAAGGCCTAAAGGCTACTTCTGGTGAGCCAAAAACTGTTTCACTGAATGCCATTATGGATTTTTTTATCCTGCTATCTGAGATCAGAATTTGCTTTTGGGAATAAAATATAGAAACATAGTTGGTTTGCACATTGTGAATACTATTTCTTATGCAAAACTCACCCTTTTTCTTGTTGAGAGGGTTCCCCTCAAACCCACCCCCCTTCTTGAGATCCTGGCTGAGATCTTGGATGGCTGAGATCCTGGACTGGGAGATGTACTGCACATTCCTAATTATGCACAGCAATGACTTCATTCTTCTGGATCTCCAGAGGGTTCCTGGGAGATCCTGGAGGATGCTGTTTTCTGTGCACCAAGTTATAGAAAAATAACCAAATGCTTCTCTTCCATTCTCCCTGCTTTTCACTGATCAGGAAATGGCTATGTTGTGAGGGGCAGGTGTGGTGGAGGATGGGAGATGTTTTGTTATGCATGTGTTCTAACACTCCCAATCCAGTATCTTGGCCATTGTTTTCATTGTGCAAGGACTGTAGTGCAGTGGTAGAACACATGAGTTGTATGCAAGCATCCAGCTTCAGTCTCTAGTGTCTTCAGATAGAGCTGGGAAGGATGTCTGTCTGAAACCCTGAAGAGCTGATGCCAAGCTCAATAGTACTGAGTTAGATGGAGCAATGATTGACTGGGCATAAAGCAACTTCCTTATGATCTGAAGTTCTATAACTGTTTGTGTATTCTGATAATTATACCTGTTAGGCCCATTATGTAAGCTGCTTTGATTTACCCTTTTCTAGGGAAGGGCATAGCACTGCAGCCTTAATCAGAGCATTATGCACACTGCTCACATAACCATGGGACTTTTTTCAAATCCCCTTCATCCCAGATCTGCATTGCCTCTATATAGATTTTTGCAAGTTTTAGGATTTTGCAGAAAGATTCAATATCTGTGGTTGCTTTCAACTTGTGCCAAGATTCCAATTCATCTAGAAGATTGGGAATGCCCAGAGTTAAGAAAAGTTACTTCTTTGGGATACAGCTTTCAAGATATATGGCCACTGGCAGCACTGGATAGGGACTTTTTGTTTTGCAGTCCAAAAAGGGTAACACTTCCACACTTTGCTTAGGTTTGGAAACATTGCCATGGTGGGAAACTTTTGGTCTCAGGGTTCACCTATGTGCAGCTCCATTGCTGTTGCCCAGAAACAGTCCTTTCAAATATCTCATTGTGGCATTTTTATTTAGAAGGATGCCATCGTCTTTGTACATGATTAGAATGCACTGTGCTATGATATTGTTGCCAGAGCACAGATTGTAAATTATCAGCCAGAGCCACTCTGTACCACTCTGGCATCAGCCCCTTTGAAATAAAGGACGCTGACAGGGGAGTTAGAAGATCAAAGATTGTCCTTTGTTATCCTGTGTATGTATGTGTGAAGGCTGTGAGATGGGTGAGTTAAAACTGCAGAACTGAACTGCTTTCACGAGAGGGCACTGCCTCCTAAGAAATGACACTGTGTGTAGGGAGGGTGAGGGAGAGCTGGTGAAGATCAGCATCTTGACAGATATTAATAGGAGGTGAATTGTTTTGATTGACAGGCCCCCAAAGACCTCCATCCTATCTTTTATTTATAGCTTCTCACATGCCTTGCCCCTGCCTGTGTCTTACTTAAGTCATTATGGTCCTGGTAGGAGAGGGGGCTCCATTTTCTCCACCGTTTTAACTCTCACTTCTTTGCCGAAGGCAACAAGACAAACAGTGGCCTGAGATGCCTCTCAGACATTTTGATTTCCTCCTCTCTATGTAAGGGCTAGTGTGGTTTGAGCATTGGGCAGTGACCATGGAGACCAGGGTTCGAATCCCCACTTGACCATGTAAACCCACTGGGTGACCTTGGGCAAGTCATACTCTTTCAGTCTTAAAGGAATGCAACAGCAAACCCCCTCTGAACAAACCTTGCCAAGAAAACGCTATGATAAATTCCTCTTAGGGTTACCATAAGTTGAAAATGATTGAAAGCACACAACAACAACAACAACCACCACCTCTTTGCTCTGCTTAAAGAGCCTACAGGGTGCAGCTCAAAATTGACATACAGCTCCCATCTCCATTGTCATATTGTCTTCTATGCCTCAAATTTTAAAGGTTTCCCTACACCCTAGACATGTTTGGGACCAAGAGTGGTGATTGTGGCACAGGGTCTCCCATGCCAAACAGGAAAAGAAAAGGCTGTAAGTGGATTTCCAGTTTTGTTTCCCCTGTCCACATATTTCCTGACTTGATGTAGTTCACCATGGATGCTGGAGAGTGACAATTTAATGTCCTCAAGCTTGCCAAAGTTGCCCAGGTTGTGAACATGTTGGCTGGAGGATTCTGGGAGTTGTTGTCCATAAAGTAATGTTTCCAGGTATTAACCTTTCCTTTTTCCTTTGCACCAGCTACATGCTCTTGAGTAGGGTTGCCAGGGTGAAAACTGAAGAGGATTCCAGTACTTTAGGAATAGGAAGAAAAAGGTCCCGTGAAGGGCAAATAAAAACACTATAGCTCTAGCCATGCAAACACTTCCCTCTGCTGAAAAACAGGAGTGCAGAAATGGTGGCTTACAGGAAGGGTTTAGCAGAAATGCTTCATTCTTCCCCACCTGCCAGTTTCCCCTTCTTAATGGTACTTTCTTGGAAAACCTTCTTTATAAGATCTTATATAGACACTTCGCTCTACTGGCAAAATGTAGGGTCTTTGCAGACTGCTAGAAATAGTGCAAATTGAGTCCATTTTAAGGGTTAGGGAATCATGGGAACTGTATTTTATTGTGGCACCAGAGCTCTCTGACAGAGAAGGCTCAATGTCTCAGAAAAAAATTCCCATGATTCCCTAGCACTAACCCTAACCCTTAAAGTGGACTCAATTTGCACTATTTCTGGCAGTCTGCAAAGGCCCGTAGTTTGTTTTTCAGTGTGAGAAATGCATGACTGTACTGTGTTAGTTCCTTAGGCTTCAGTTCTTTTTTTAAAAATAAAGTTTATTACTTAAAA